AAAAAAAAAAAATCTAGGACGTTTTTGTTCCACTGTGCTATAAAGTTTTGGCCTGCTCAACAACTGTGTGCCAAGAAATTTCTCAAAGAAAGCCCGTAACAMACACAAGATGTTTAGCTTCTTGTACTTTCATACTTTCCTTTCTCACTACCTCCTCTCCATTGCCACAGAGAGAGCAAGTGGAAAACCAATGCCTTAGTTCTGCTGCTCGGTGCCGCGGGAGGGATCTGGTCCCATCACCGCTCAGCTGCTGCTCCACAAGCYGACCAGCCCTGCTCTGCGCAGGCATTCCGGGTATCCGCCCTCCTGACACTGCAGGCAGGGCGAGGGAGGCAGGAATACCGCCTGTATTCCAGTAGGGATTTAATGTATCAGCACTATGTTGTTTTCTGTTTTGTYCCTTCTTCCTAATATCTTACTTAAGTCTTCAGTCCCTATTGAGGACATATCTTCACAGTGCTGGTTATAATAATTCTCAGATCTCCTTCCTGAGCATTTAAAATGAGTAGTGCCCACTGTTGTATATGTATTTTTTTTCCTCCTCACACATGACCTGAGGCAGGCACTGTGAAGAATATTTAAAGACGCTGTTCTGGAAGACATACCACCTCTCAGAGCAAAAGAGATGGAATAGTTTACTAGTAAGAGAAAGGAAATTACTGGACATGTTAGGCGCCTTTCAAACTGCAGAGCTGCACCCTAAGGAGAACATCAGTGGATAGTCTCTAGCAGGTTCCAGTAAGGGAAATCAAGAATTTAAAAAACAGCTTGCAGAAGTCAAAATACCATAGTAAATCCCATTCTGGATAAACCTTGTGTAGAAAGTTTGCTGGACTCCATAGGACTAACATGAGATGAAGATATAAAAGGCCTATTTAATAGAATGTCAGTCCCCCACATTTAGGTTTCTGTTCACTTTGGAGGGATGTGAACGCTAGAGCCCCCGTTTATAGGTTAGCACTAGAATCCTGCAAGTAGCTTGAGGACAAGCTCTTAAAGCATAAAAAGTGGATGGGAGAATATCATATATGGGGGGAATATCAAATGAGGAATATCAAAGGAACAGTAGTTAAGTTTACCTGAGTGGTAGAAGTAAGGGCTGGCTGTGAGAATTTCATTATATTATGATACTGAATYGTTGTATGAAATACTGGGTGAAATACAGCATATATAGAAGGATGCACATGATGGGGCAAAACAAAAAATCCCCCTGGCCTGCCCTAGGCAAAGTCAGTGATGGGTTTCATGACAACCACTACTCCTTGGGTGTTTTGCCTTATTGCAACTCCCTCTATGAGGGCACCAATTCAGTGGCCAGTAGCAGACAAGCCTGTGTGTGTGTGCGCATGTGTATATATTTATATGTATAATGCTAGCTCCAGGGTGCTCCATCTTTAAACAACATGGACATTTTCAATCTCTGTGTCCTTTGACACAATGGCAAGGATGACCAAAAGGTATCCAGATATATCCATATTTGTACTGTCATACAAACTGCTTGGGAATTTTCAGCACAGAAAAGAGAAAAAAAAATGAGGTAAGTTAATGGCTGGCATTCAGAAGACGATCCACTGTTTCTCAGAATTCAGAAAGAGAATATCAAATGAAAACTTTAAGGGAGCAGGCTCAAAACAAGAAAAGGAGAAAGGAGGCTTTTTTCCCCCCCCACACACATCACTTAGGTGAACCAAGAAGTGCCGTGCCTCAAGTTACTATAGAACCTCACATCAACTCTATTATTTTACAAAAAGAAGAAAGAACATTTTTGGCTAATATGGACATTCTCTATGGCTTGGGAAGTCCTTGAAGTGCAAGTTGCTTAGAAGAAACCATCACATCCTCTTCTTACAAACTTTCCTACATATCCACCAGCCACAGCTGGAGACTGCACCACCTTTCCACCTTTGTGGATAGCTGATCATGTACCACCCTAGACCTTTTATTTGGTCTAATTTTTTAACACATATATATATATATATACGCACACATATATATATGTGTGTGTGTATATGTGTGTATATATATATATATTTCTTTTGTCTATTTTGATTGTGGCAAACCCCAGCCTCGTTTCTTTTGGCATGACAATATTTAGCTGTGATTTCTGGCCCTCATGCTGCTGCAGCTCTCCTCACTCCCTGCATCAAAAACAAATGAGTGAAAAGAGAAACAGCCAGAGAAGGAGAGTTTACGCAGGGCCTCTGGATGTACAGACATCTCCAGCACCTACAGAAGAGCCTTTAAGCTCGTACCCCAACCCCACAAGACTGTCTGTGAGCTGCATGATAGTTGTGGTTAGGCCAGATGGCAGAGTCCAACTTTGAGAGGTACTTTGTTTTGGAACTATCCGCAATTCCACAAACTGCTCTAAGGTGAAAATTCCTCCGTGTAAAATTCAGAACTTCCTTAACTGAAGCAAGAGTTATTAAAATACTATTTTCCTATATGTTTCCTGAATCGTTCTGGACTCAGGTCAGCTTGATGACACATCAGTTCCTCCCTGAAGGGAAAATTAAAATCAAGATAAAAACTAATACCTCAAGGGCCGCTTTAGGGAAATAACAGGAACGAACATTTAGAAAACATGCACTGATAGGTTTAAAATTTTTTTATTGTGCTGCCAAGAGCCAAATTACAAGAAACCGCCTTACAGTTAAAAAAGTAAACAAGCAATCTGCTGAACCGCAGTGCACTCCGAGTGCCACATATGCATCTATTTTTCAGAAAATTATATTTGCATTTCTCTTACAAGAGCACAACAGGAACCAAAGTAAAAGAGTGTAATGGATACAGCACATAGGATAAATCATATCTTTAAAATAATAATAATAAAATAATAATAATAATAAAAAACATTTTACACCATGTCCTATATCCTGCTAATATTTTCAGAATATGGCCTTGATTGTAAAACAAAAGCAAGCATTTACAATTCTGGATAAAGACTGCTTACTCTTATGCAAGGAATGGATGTTTTGTCTTGACAAAATCTTTGCAGTAACTGGACAGAAACATCTCTGTTTCGATATCAGATTGAGTACAAAACACTGGGGAGACTACATTTTTTCTTATTTGTGTTTGGAAACTGGAGTTATATAAGCAGAAAAAATGTTGACCCTTAATGATACACTTTTTTTTTCTTTGATGCAAACAGCTAGAACACCTTTTTGATATTCTAAAACAAAAAAAATTGTTAATCTTCAGATTAATAAATTAGGTCATTATAATAATAAATTAGTTTTTTTTTCAGTTTTAAAGTTCAGCAACCTCTGACCAAGTATTTACAACAATACTTGAGAGTTCCTTTACAAAAAATACATTTTCTTTTCACATTAAGCATACTGGGTATCTGTGTCTTTTATGACAAGCATTTGTAAAAGAAAAAAGGCAATGCACAAATGGGTAATTAGTATAAAAGTGCCAAGACCTGTTTGGAAAGTTAACATTGTATAATACAGTCAGAGTTATAAATGAGGCAAGCTACAACAAACTTCCAGCTTAATGTGGACAATATTCCAGTAGTTGTTTCAAACAATTGTTTGAAAAAACAAAAAACAAACAAAAAAAAGAAAAAAAACCACAAAAACAAAATAAACAAAAGAAAACAAAACAAAAAAAAACCAGAGAAAAATAAAATCCAGGAGCTGACGGTGTCATTCTAAGGAGCTGATTAGTGCTGCATGTATATTGTCATCAGTGTCTCTAGCCAATGCATTCATTAAAAAGCCTTCTTAAGGCCAAGCAGGAAAAGAAAAAATAAGAAACACCCTGAAATGTAGCAAGAGCGACGCTTACTGCCGGACTCGTGCACGGGCCGGCCCGGGAGCGCGCGCACGCCCGCCCGCGCACCCAGGCGCTTTCCAACCGCGTCCCACTGTAGGTAGAATGAGATGCTCTYTCCTCGTCCTGCCTAAACTCACAAGCGACCAAGCACTGATATGGAATGCCTGTTTAGCTGTTTCTGCTCTGGGTAAAATCTCTCTCAGATAAAAATACATTCAACAAGAAAAAAAAAATAGAAAAATATATACTGTATATATAGCACGTTATATATACAGTATATATGTATAGTGTATATGCACATGCACCTAGGTATACATGTGCATACCTACATACATACCTACGTGCCTGTGTATATACATATAATATATACACAAACATACAAATACTTTTTGTTGTTTTTTAGCATAATTATATTTACATAAATATTCCTATAATGCTAAAGTTTAAAGAAGCATGATCTCCTYTTTTTTTTCTGAGCTTCAAAAAAGGTGCTTGAGTAATATACAATTAAAATTAAGCAGCTTCCTAGCATGGAAGTAGTTTCTAAATCTGCATACCAGTAAATAAGAACAACAACAGGAAAAAAAACAACAACCTTAAAACAGTCTCTTTTTTTACTCTCTTTTAAGCAAGAGCTTTGTCCAACAAAAATATTTTTCCTTCTCCTGTATGAACAACCAGAGATTGATACAAAATAACAAAACAAAACCACAACAGACAAAACAAACAAACAAAAGCCCCTGGAACTGCATGGTGGTCTTGACTTTTCCTTCCTTCCTTCCTTCAATACTGCTGTCAGAAAGATCCAGTGCTCATATCAGGAATTACTTAGGCCTCAGTCATTTGCTAACTCTGCCAAAGTCAGGCTAATCTAGCCAATCAGCTTTGAAGAAAACAAAAATAAAAACAAAAAGCAGCACAAGGTATAATTTTATACATCCTTAATAAACCCACCCTTTATTTTCTGCTATAACCTTTTCCTTGCTATTTCATTAACTACTGCAGCTTCTCATCATATAGAAAAATATTTGCAGCTACACCACACCTGTGATGTGACAAGTTCTGTTCTAGGAGTATATTATTGTAGCAACAGCTGGAAAACAAAACAAAACAAATTAAAAAAAAAAAAAGAAACAGACTTTTTTTTTTTTTTTTCTTTTCATCTAGGGTTAGACTTTGTTTCAACAGATGCAGTTTCAGAGCAGCAAGAAAAGCCACCATCCTGCTGCTCAGTAATACTCTTTACTCATTTTCTTCTGCAGCCAGGCATGACCAGCTTTTCTTCTCTGAAGCTGCCTTTTATCTCATGGCCTACCCCCAGCTTCCAATTCCCCCTCCCCAAAAACCTCTATAGCTATGTTACAAGCAAATACATCTTAATAAGTTTTAAAACTTTGGTTCTAAGAAAACACTTGGTCAGTTATCTCAAGGAAAAGTAGGAATGCTTTTTCTGGCACATTGCAGGAGTCAGAGCTCATCCCAGTAAGGTCTGAGAGCTGTACATGTAGTCACAAATCCAATACAATCCACTAAGCAAGTGCACAATTCTAGTTTTATTTTAATAGCAGACTTAAGTCTCTCTCTTTCTCTCTCTCGCTCTTTCTTAAATCCGTGGCAAGGGTRCAATTCTTCAAACTGTTTGATAGAAATTATCTGCCTGTAGGTTGTTCTGTTTCTGCATGCTGTAAAATCCACTGTATCTTGAATCTGGGTCTGCGATTCTTAGCATCCTCTGAGAACTGTCCACCTGGACCATGGTTCCTTTCTTGCAGTCCACATACACCAGTTGATTGTTCAGGCAGGAAGGCTGTTAGACAAGAAGCAGCATTAAAGCAGTTTGAAGATTTCTGTATTACAACCATAATTAAAACATGTCTGTGGTACAAGTTGGCATACACAAAGGAAATAATTGGTGAAAAAGCAGTCTGGACTTTTACTAAGCTTAGTCAAGTTTATGCCAGGCCCAGAACCAGACCAGCACCCTCTTTGGCACCTTCTTTTTTCTCCTCTATGGAAACCAGGCCAGAAGGAATGGTTAASTTGTACTCTATTAACCTAGCACCACACATTCAGTAATCCTTCAAGCTTTTTTTCTCCAAAGTTAAAATAAAATGGTTTATATGTATATTATATTTTTAAAAATTCTTCCCAGTTTACCCTGTGTTCTTCAAAGAGACTGTGAACCGGATTTACACAGAAGTCCTGGGGCTCACTGAGCTTAATGGAAGTTGGCACAGAAAGTAGCAAAAAGTAGGAAGTGCAAAGAGCTTGCTTTCTATGTGGCATCAGGGCCAGCCATTAATAGCCAACTATCATTTCAAACAACTTTTCTGTAGTCTTTCTGTACTGAGTAGATGGTGATTTTTATTTTCTAATCCCTGTCTGTTTTTAAAGAGTGAGAAAAAAATATGTCAGTAGTTCTAGCTTTTTATACTGTTAGATCATATGTACTAAAGCTGCACAACAGTGGAGCAGGTACTTCTTTTTTCCTGACAAATCCACTGCATACCTGATGTGTATGGGGTAAAATGATAAAAAGTTAAGAAAATAAGAGAAATGTGGCATATATTGTATTTCTCTATGTTAGCAAGGTATTTTGTCAGCACATGCAATTCTCTCATAGGCTAAACACAAAATTTTATGGTAGATGGAGCTATTTAAGACGTAACACAGAGCCCACAGTGGCAGAGCACATAAACATCTGTCAGGTCATATGACTTTGAAAAGAGGTCATATAGCATTTGTCAAACGTGAAAGCGATTTCCTAACTACATAACTGCAGTTACAGGGGAGGGTTTGGTTTCAGGGAGTTTTTTTTTTTTTTTTTGAAGGAGTTTGATTTCTGTATAGTGATTTTTACCATATAGAATAGTAAATTACAGTTTTTCTTTTGACTACTAAAAAAGTCATTTAGGAGATTAAATAAATTGGCACCATCTGATCAATGTAAAATGGCTGAAGACACATGGAGAAAACAATTTAGGAGTGTTCCTGTGCTGTGAATTCAGACGCACCCTGCACACTGCTCTAGCTGGTCTTGCTTTCCCGGAGCAGTGAAAACCTGGGACTAGGCATTAACACCGCACCTTTGTGGGAGCCTTGTAGCAGGACACGGGAATCCACTGCTTCTTCTGATTGACGAGCAGGAGGACTATGATGAGTAAGAGCGCGATCATGATGGGAATCGTCACCAAGGCGACAGAGCTGACGGATGCGTCGTCACTGGGATGCGGCCCGCTGCCGCCTCGGAACTCCCCTTGCAGGTGACTCATGTCTGCAAGACACGTTACCATTGCTTAGAGGATGGAGGTGCCTGGACCACGCGGAAAAATACAATTATAGAAGTGCCAGTCAGAGACCTTATCACCCAAGCAAATTTGTATTTTACCTCCTGAAGCGTCACCTTATTTATACTTAGAACAACTGAAAGCTAGTACCTAGTATACTGTTATAGTTATCCAGGAAAAGGCCCTAAAAGAGRAGTCTTGGATTGAAAAATGAGAAAAGTTATTTAATTAAAGAAGGTTAATGAAGACTGTGTCACCATTTCTTTTTCTCCTAACCTGAAATAATGATTTCAGCCCAGTTCTAAACAAAAGATGGATTTACCTAGTTAAAAACTTTATTAGCCTATGTCACATTGTACCTGATGTGCTTTTCCATTAAGTAATTGTTCTTCTGTGGTGTATGTGAAGTTGTGCTATACATTTTCCTGGTTTTGTTTTTCCAATGTAAGAACGTCAAATATATTAAGCCAAGGTTCACCTACTCCAGTGGCTTGATAGCAGCTTCCCAGCTTTTACAGAAACTGCAGAATCAGTCCTCATTCATCACTTCATGACATTCATAAATTTATAGAACACTATCRTACCAACACAGATGTCTCTTCCAGGCTGAGGATGTAGTGATAGACCAAATTGCAGAAATGTATTTTAATGGTCTGACTCATCTTTACTCAAAGCCAAATGCATATAACAGYTACTGCCCTGTAGAATATTCTAGCATGCCTACCTTTTTTTCAACGCAGTACGTAGAACTGTTTGAGTAGATGCATTAAAATATTGGGAAAAAACACAGATTTAAGATTTAAGTTAGCCCAGATCACATCAGATCTTACCTCTGTGAATGTGGATGATGTCATTTTCGCTTGGTGTTGGCCAGTTTGGTACTTCCAATTCAATGTCTCCTCGATGATTTGTCTTCTCAATGGGGATGTTAGTTGGTTCTGGTACGTACATCTCTGCAAAATAAAGATAAGAGATATAAGATAAAAGTGTTTCATGATCTCCAGACTTCTTACTTYCTAGTGTTGCTCTTAATTAAGAAAATATGTTTGGACATCAGCAGTTGTCTCATGAATGCCTTCACTTGCTTTAGATTTCACACCATTAGTGACACGGGATTTTGTTTTAAATTTTACACAGTATCATTACATATTGAGAGGATTGCTAAGATTTAAGTGTGCGTTATAGATTTTCCACTGGCTTATACCATATGTAGCATACATAGCTGCTGCTATTATTATTCTAACGTGAACAGAATGAACGCCTTGTGAACACAGATGGCTTTGAAGACACCATTTCAGAATATATGCTTCACTGTAGTCTAGCTCATCTGTGACACTTTAACAAAAAAAAGGCCATGGGAAGAGCTACATTTCACAGCTGATTGTTAATCGACACTAATGGCTTTTTTGACTTCCTTTTTGTGTAATTCCCAAAGTAGGAAACATTCAAGAGAAAGTACTGCTGAAGCTCCCTAATTCTTCTGTTGGAAGTTATTACCAGCTGACTGAAATAAGAGCAAACACCTGCAGAAATATGTCAAGACTAGAATTGAAAAGGAGTTTCAGTTCTTGAGCCCTTTATATCTAGTAATTGCATACTGCATTTCAGCCAAGTTAAAATGATAACTATGACAATGCAGTATCTGAAAAGTAATCAGATACTACCAGAGGCAGAAATGTTAATCAGTGGATCAGTAGAGGTGTAAAACACTAATTTGCCTACTTTACGAATACTTTTCCATAGAGCAGGGACAAGAGAGCAGGGGCAAAAGGGCAAATTTTTTGGGGTCCATAGTTATACATTTGTGTATGACTTTCCTATCTCTTAAGGATAGCCATTTGCCTGAATCCTTACACTAAAATCCCTATTGTCTCTTCGACACTGTTCAATGTGGAATGAAGTTTAAAAGACTAAGCAAAACAAAACCCCACCAGTTTTGGAAGACAGCACCGCAATACTGTGGGTCACCCCRTGTTACCTGGACACATGGGGCAGCAGCTTCCCTCCACGTTGATGGGCTCAGCACAGGGCAGGGGTGGGCAGCTCACAGTGGAGCAGAGGGTCTGGCCCTGCAGGCAGTAGCAGTGTGTGCAGCTGTCGATGTCCCAGCGCTCCTCGTCCGCRTAGGTCTTCCCGTTGAAGTGGCAGACTACTTTCTTTGGCACTGTGTCTTCTGGGGAAGGAAAACAGCGTGAGCAGTTGCAATGGCCACTTCCATACAAATACTATCTTTTTTCCAAAACACGGAAGTTATAGGACAGCTAACGGAGAAATCCCAGAGGCAGCTACAAGACTCTCCACATCTTCAGAAACATCTTTTATAGAAATGCCTGGTTGCTTCTTTAATAAGTGTATAACTAGCCTGAGTTTTTTCTCCTGTTTTGCCTTATGCAAGGGAAAGACAGATGATTTGAACATGAAATTACGATATCAAAACACAGCAGAAATTAATTTTTTTTATTTTTTTTTTTTATTTTTTTTTAAGGCATGACTGAAAAACACAATTCCTCCCCTCATTTTCCTAGGCAATCCTATTTAAGGAAGAAACATTGCCTTCAACTCTAAACTATCAAGGTTCAAAAGGTGAAATCATTCCAGAATACTTGAAGAAAGGACCAGTTTGTAAACACGACATAACAATTCAACACTCAGTAAGTGCTTTTTAGAAGGATGAACAAGGATAAAATCAGAACATCAGCRCTGTACCCTTTGACTGCAAGGTGCCTATTGCATGGGAGCACAAATTCAGGAAAAGGATGGAGGCCACAACACCAACTAGCTCYGTGGGAGCAATGCAGAGGTGCATTGAGAAACCTACATACAGGAGACAGTACATAGCCGGACGTGTCTTTTGTTAAGCCTCCTCTCACTTCATCAGTGAATCAAAATACATCTGGTTCTGTGATCGAGTCTTTGCTCTGTTTTCCACTTAAGACTAGTCTTATATTTAATCAAGCAGGTATCCCTTTATCTTCTCTGAAGTAGGAGGTCATCTTCCCAAAGGATAAATTTGAAGACTTGGAAAAACAAAGAAAGCATTCAAGGCTTGCAATATTTTAAACTTAAATCTATATTGTTCTTATTATAACTTATTATGATCTGTATCCAGAAGGAAACAGAGTAAGATAGTGCTAAAAACCAGCATCATTTAGGAAACTGCAATAAATAAAGACCTTTCTAAAGATTTTACCTACTGAACACTTTATCAATTATTACATAAAAATGTCAAGGAAGACTTTATCAAGAGGTGTTTCATAGTTCTCAAGAAACTAAAAGAACAGTAAGAAACAGCAAATTAAAGATGTCAATAGCTCATCAAGGTTACACATTTGAAAGCACCTCACAATGCTCTGGCAGATGGCTCCAAGGATGAATCACTGTTTATACATGGACAAGCTGAATCAGGTGTTCAGTTAACAATTCTCAAAGCCCATCAATTTTATGCTATTCTTTTTTATTACATTATTGTTCAMTGAATATATCCCTACTGCTTTTGGAAATGAAGGTTATGGAAATTAGTCCTTAAGGCTTTCTTACAAATATTACAATGACTTGATTTTTATTAAGTCCATTACATCTTTTGCATCAGTCACTTCCATTCCACAACTTTGCACTGATTGCAGTTGCTTTATTAACACTTCTCTATTCCATTAAATGGAATAGATATAGATATATAGATATAATGACTTGATTTTTATTAAGTCCATTACATCTTTTGCATCAGTCACTTCCATTCCACAACTTTGCACTGATTGCAGTTGCTTTATTAACACTTCTCTATTCCATTAAATGGAATAGATATAGATATATAGATATATAGATATATTTCATAATACTTCATCGTATATCTTCTGCAGTTCTTATCAATATTTGACTAATATACATAGTCATAATAATCACATAAAATATGTGCTATCTGGCGTTTTTAAAAACTAAAATATTTTTAAAGAAATGTTTTCATTTACTAAGCTAAATTACCAACTGCAAGTTTTTAGGAGGAGTTTTTAGGTCCTCTCAGGTGGATATGCTAATTACATTTACGTCTTCTTGCATTTCTACCTTAAAATGGCAAAATATGATCCTTAGAGCTCCCTATGCAGACTCTGCTCTTTGGTCCAACTAAAGATACAAACTGCAGGCCCCTTCAGTCAGGGATACATATTCAAAATAGGAAATACAACTTCTTATTTMCCAAAAAGGAGCAGCAAGCTATAAACTATTTCTATTTGCTTACCAATACAATAAGGACAACATTGTCCCTTTCTCAAAACAGGTCTCTCGCAGGATACTGGTGGGCAAGACTCAGAGTAGCATCTAATCACACCATCCATGCAAATGCAGCTGGTGCACACATTGGGCTTCCAGGACTCAGCTGTCAGAAAAATATCTCCTTCATCATTTTTGCAGTAACTGGGCATGCTCTCATTGCTTGAAGAAGAAGGTTGGACAGGCTCATCTGTAAATGTAAACAGAGCAAGTTATTTAACCAAGAATAACCTGCTTCTCTGACATTTTCTCTATAAAGAGCTCACTTAACATATGTGTTTTTATGAGCCTAGGACTGCAGTGGAATCCTAACACACTGGACCATTTTCACATTTAAATTTAAATCTGAATCCCAGCTTCTGCCTTACCAGTTCAAGTCCTTGAACTGGGAGTGTTGCTAAGTCCAAAGCTCTTGTCTTCATCAGTGGACAACTAACTATGTATTAGTCATATGATGTAGAGAAACACATGGAGCTTGACAGGGTTCCATCTCAATTCCAGTGGACCTGCTTTAATTTTCATACCCTCATGTTGGGTGTCACACCTTTCTGAATAAGTCACATCCTACCAGGCATTATGGACCAAGAATTACTATTGTATGTGCACAGGGAACATGTAAGAAAGAAAGGAAGGATTCATAAATGGACTGAGATCAGGTTTCCAGTTTTACTGTGCAAGTCGAGAGACAGCAAGCTCCTTGCATAGCCAGTGAAGAAATATCACTACTCCATAACTTATTCTGAGGATAAGCTGTACAAATGTTTATTGTTGCTAACAACAATTAAAAAAAAAAAAAGTAGAAGCTAGGAAAATTTATTAACTTTTTCACTAAAAATATTTTGTCAATGAAGAAAAAAACTGTGGTAGAAATAGCAAAAGTTAGCCTTTTGATGTGAAATATTTAAATTTTGTTTTTAATAAAGGCAAAAATATCTTTTCTGTGAGCTTACATAGAATTCTTGAATTTGCACTAATTTTCCACAGCAATGAACTCCTACATTTGCTACATAAAATACAAATTCATGCTTATTTATAATAGCATCTCTCTCCTAGGGAAAGCAAATATTGTTTTCCTGACATTGTGGGGTAGTTTGTGAGGAAGCTGGCACACCTGGAGGGTGGAATGCTTTGATATCAGGCAGTTACTTTCAAGTCACTCTCAAATCATGCCAGAAGGAGGTAAAAACAAGCAGAAGCATTTTTGTTATGAAATCCCAAACAGACRAGATAGTAATAGAAAAGGTCAATTGAAAAGAAAACATACAGAAAAGAGACAAGTCTATAGCTGCCTAGCACTCTGATTACTCCAACATTTCTTTAATCCTGTGTTTTCCCAAAACTAAGCCAGTGCATATTTCATAAACTTTCTAACTACGGATGCTGACTCTCATGCAACTCTTACATTATGAGATTGCCTCCAAAGAAGAGAGTTCAAACTTCAGAACCACAACTTCCCTTACATATAAATCTTGTACCTGAGGGCTAAGATGCAAGTTGGTTGGTAGTACTTACCTGGGCACTGCGGGCAGCAGGAATCCTGTGTGCGGGTCGGGTTTTGACAAAGGAGCGGGGGACAGACTTCAGTCTCACACAGGACACGTCCGCTGTGGCAGGTACATTGTGTGCAAGAATCAATATTCCACGTCTCGCCTTCAACAAAGTATTCCCCACCAGGAGCATGACAAATAGAGGGACTAGTGAGTTCTGGCTTCTGCACAATTATTTCATCTGTGAAGACAAGCAAATAAAAATAAATGGAGACTATGCTGTGTAACAGATATCCCTAACCATCATTAATTACTCATTGGTATTATTGGTAATTTTAGGATTAAAAAAAAAAAAAAACCCAAAACAGCTATAAAGATGAAAGAGTTTCATTAAAAGCGAAAAATGGAGGAAAAAAAATTCAAACATGAACCAGTCTGAGAATCAATATAAATAAATATATACAAGTGTGTATATATTTATATATTTATATTATATATGTATATGTAAAATACATAAATCTGAGAACTTTAAGCATTCTTGGCATTTCAGGAAAAAAAAGGTCTGCCATAAGCATCTCAAGTGAGTTGTGTCAGAAGCACTTGATGCCAGATAAAGAAAAACAGAAACAAGGTACTTAAAATACGTGGATGTATTTCATCTAATGACTGCTTCATATAAAACCATACGTAGTCTTTGAAGTAAAAACTGAACCCCAAGGAGATCTTAAGAGCATGTAGATTACTAATCCCTGTGGCTATGTCTCACCCAGTGAACCTTAATTCCTTTTCACACAATTAAACACAGTAGCTCTAGAACCATGGCTAAAGGCTCACACAGTTTTCAAGTAGGTAGGTAAGAAAATAAGATTTGGCTTCACCTAAATTAAGAAAGGAATTGAAACTGCTTCCCATATTAAGCATGAGCGCTCTCCAACCATTCAGATATTATGGAAATGGAGGCACTCTCTTTTTGCCTATTGGTGTGTTTTAAGAGAAAAAAGAAATGCCTTCTGTGGGGTGGTAGCTACCGCCACAGAGGAGAAATGGGAATGAAAACCAATATGCACCTCTGGAGTCTTCTAACTCCAACTGGCTGCCAGTTTAGCATGCTGGTTGTTTTGGACAAGGGGTTAACTAACTTTTTTCTCATGGACTTTGCACAGGAATCAAGTTATCAGGCTTTAGGTGACTACACAAGCCAAGATTTTGAAAGCTACATGCTGCAACACCAAGTTCCAGGCTTGTAAGTGAATGGATTGAAGCTATCAGACTGGATTCAACCCATCTAATATCAGGCAACTAAGTTAAGTGCCTACGTTAAGARCTCAGCTTCCTCTTTATGAAGACAAGGGAAAATAAAGCGCCTTCTAGATAAAGACTCAGCAGCTCTAAACCATCTTCTGGAGATCCAGCTCTGCTATTCATCTATAGAGAAGCCTAACACGAACATCATCGTAAACCACATATCTTGTTTAAGGCAGAAAGTTTAAATGGGTAAGTTCCTCTAGTTACTCATGTAGCCAACAGTTATGAGCATTTTTACTTCTATTTGCATTCTTAGTACTGCTGTATTTTTCTGGAGAATGAAGTTTGTGCCCTTTGCTTGTGTGAAAGCATAAACAAGTAAAAGGCATTTTTATGCAGCCATCAGGCATRGTGCTTTCTGCAATGCCACTGTTGCAAAATTTGCCACAGAATGTTAAGAATCTCCCCTTTCATTATGAACAAAACAAAACCCACAAAATGAGTGTGAATGTTTATGACTGGAATATTACCTTTGAAGCCATGAGAATGAATGCAAACACTTTCTTCAGTCAGAGAAAAGATACCTCTGTGAGATGCCTTTTCCCTGGTCAACAGGTTAACAATGCAATTGAAATCAGGCGCTGCTGATTATTTCAATATTCTTATATCAGACACATTCATCTGGGGGTGCTCACAATCTCCCCTTCCAGATTACATTCCTATTTACTGAAAACCATGATGTTCATTTAATGTGATAAGTGGGGAATCAACACACTGCCAAATAAAGTTGGAAAATATCAGTAACAATCAAAAGACCTCAGTGGGGGAAACAGAAATCCATAAGGGCTAATTCGGCCATATTACTTCACACACTCTCCTATGCACAGCTGCTTTTAAAACACTGTGCATCTGCCCTAGCATTGTAAGAGCTCCACCATATATGCCTTTGCCAACACAGAATCTAAAAGACCTGTACTCCGAAAGCTGGGAAGGAAGCCAGGCAGAGAAAATTATATAGATACTGCACCTTAAAGAAATGGAAACTTCTGGGTAAGCAACTATTCTTTTTGACAACTGACCAACATTACTGGTGCTCAGAATCAAACAGGAATTTTCATCCACGAGAAGTGAACATCTTCTAATGYAACATGAATAGGGAGGTGAACACGTGTTAAAACCTTCTTTCAGAGCACTGGTGGTGTTTGTGCAGGTAATGGAGATGAAGGTGACTATATTCCAGAAGCATTAGAAGCACAGCAGAGGCACAGAAAAGTTTGAGGTCAGCTGTGATTTCAGATCTCTCTAATGGTAGGTATGCTCTGGCTAATTGAAATGCTAGATTTTTCTGAGTATCAAAATGATGAGAAGTATAGCATGGTCTCTTACACTGCTGGTCTCTTCCTATCTTCCTTCAATGAGTCGAACATGAGCTTTATGTTTGCTGAAGCTCAGCCTCAGTAGCTGCAGTCTTCCATGAAAGGCACTGCCAAAAGCAGCACCGTGGCTGGCACCGGAATTGCAGGGATCACGGATAGGGACATGGCATTCCCAGTCTCCAAAACTGGGAGCACAGCAGTGGTTCAGTCTGTGGCAGGCTAGAAAGCACTTCTTTGGAAATCCTACATCCTTCTGGTCACTCTGTTTCTCAAGTTACCATGAGGAGTGAATTGGACCAGAAATCACCATTTGTCTAAGCAGATTTGTTATCTAAGGTTCTGGGGAGGATGACACTGTCAGTTTCAGAAGGAAATTTAGCGGCTTATTTTGTCCCTAGGACTTCCTGTACTTGACATTCAGTTAAAAAAAACCCAACACCCACATAATTGCTTGAATTCTGCCAGTGCTTTCTTACCGTTATTTTGTTATTCATCCTGAGCCTTTTTTCTACTACTTTAAACATGTCTTCCAATAAAGGCATAAACAATATCACTGTATTAGAAAGTTTATCTATTTAGAACATGAAACATTGCAGTTACAGGTCTGAAGGCAGAGGTTATTAATCCTGTACCTCCAGCCATTCTTGGAAAGAGAAAAATTTTCTTGAAAAGAAAAAAAAAAATTCTTTTGGAAAGAAAAAAATTTCTCTTGGAAAGAGAAAAACTCTTCCACAGATTATTTTCATTGCCTAGATGGGAATGAAAGTGTTGCATTCAAATATGGTCATCATAATTGTTTATGCAAAAAAAAAGAAAAAATCTGCTGCTGATGGCATAGGATCTTTCATTGAGAATACAGAACCATAATGCCATAATGTTCARTTACTTAAGACATCTGTTTTAGAATATATGCCGTTGAGATATTGTGAAACATGCATCATTTTGTTAAAACTCCATGCAAAAAAAAGACAAAACCTAATAGCATATTACAATATTTGCTATTATAGATAATACARAATTGTTTATGAGTATATATTTGCTACTATAGCTAATATACACAGTATTTCTTAAAAAGTTCAAGCTCAGAGATATTATAACRTTAGTTCCCATAATATACATAYGCATTTAAGCATCTATGTTTTATGTCTGAGATATTAATAAAAGCCATTTGTTAAGTTGGACGTGGGTACAGAACATTTGTACAAGTACATTTATACTTATTACCAAATGATATGTGAGATGTGTTTTCATGTACAAAGAATCAAAACTTGTTCCTGGAATAAAACCCAATTACAATGAATACAGAAAAAAACACGTTACCTGGACACGATGGGCAACACTGGCCGGGATGTATGGTGGGGTTGCCACAATTGGGCACAGGGCAGGTGATGAGGGCGCACATCTCCCGCCCGTTGTGACAGTAACATTCCCTGCAGCCGTCGTGCCAGCTCTCCTCGTTTTCATGTCGGCGCCCATCCATTGACAGGCAAGAGCCTGTTTTAACTGGAGGCATAAGAGAAGCTGTTGCCTCTGCATAAAAATCAAAGGAAAAGGCGGTGGCCTGATAAGAATCTGTTGCTTGGAAAAATATAAATACTTCAGGCCTAGATTGCATTTATTTTTAAAGCACATGTAAAATTAARTGACTAACGATTCTATCATTTACACTTAGAAATAAAATAAACCCAAGGGGCACATGAAACAGAGTTAAAAGGAATTGTAAGGTGTGTTTGATTCTATTTGGAAAGAATAACCACTTCTTTCTGTTACATCCACATTACTTTTAATCTTAAAGAAATGCAGTATTGACTATGTAATGAAGAAAAATGAAAAAAGGTAAGAGAAAGAAAAGGTAGAAAATACAAAGTATATTTAAAATGAAGCAGAGGTATTTAAAAATATTATATTACATTAACTACAATGTTAATATCTGACAGCAGAATATTAAAATCTTTTCAAGAATTAAAGATGGTCATATATATGATAATTGAAAAGAAATTACAAATAAGTTCAGATGGGATTATGCAACTGGAAATATCTGAGAAAATATATCAGAAAATATTAGTTATGATACAGGGTATTTTGAAGTTAACTCTTGTGAGGGTTTTATCGCTCGTTCACAGGTTTTACTATACTGAAACTCTAGTAGCTTGGATTGCTCTATTACTTGCACACAGTTGGTCTAGGGAGGATGAAGTCATTTCTATCATAAGGGGTATTTAACAGGGCTGAAGGAGTTTGTTAACGGGCCGAGCGAATCACTGAGAGGTCTCTAACATCACTCATTACAGAGCAGGATTGAGGATCAGCTAGCAAGTGAACCGACTTCTTTTCAGTGGACAACAATCATGGTCAGCTGATACCTACATAAAGTTATCTGTATTAAGCTACTTATTTCAATAAATTTTTGTTAAAAAAGGATGTATAACAGAAAGTAGAGCTTTTAACATTTATTTTTAGCAAGTTTCCTTTCTTAATTACATGTAGAACCTCAATTCTTAAGCTGTGGAAGAACTACCTAGGGTGGTCTAAGAACCACAAGCTGATGGTATTAAGTTGGTTTGATGAACATCTAAGAACCAAATACACAGGAACTGTGTTAGTATACTATTTTGTGAATTCCTATAAAAGCCATGGTATAGGGAAAATACTTTTAAACTAGAGACTTCACTTTATTGCATGAACAGAAATACTTTAAAAATTATACTTTACACACAGGTAAACTTACACACTTTTTACACCACATCCGAGATGATATATTAATTCCTATTTGCAATACATGAGTGAAATACTATTTTACATTAAAACAGTATCTACACATAAAAGTCTTAGATTGAAATACCCTTTCTTAAAAAATATTTTAAAGCAGCTGACACAATCAAACTTTTTTCCTAAAAAAGTATTAAGCATACTCCAAAATTGTTAAGCAAGCTATACTTAGAAACAGCAAAGATTTCAGAAGACAGATTTTCAAAATTAAATTGTCAAAATGAGAAAGCTGTGTTCACACTTAAGTTTCTAACTCAAAGTAACAAAAAGATTACATTGAAAGGAGAAACTAAATGTTCAAATGCAAATTTGGGACAACTAATAGGTGGTACTAGACCACACTAGTATGTGGTTGAAGACAACCTGCAAATTAAAGTATCTCAAAAGGAAAATACTAGTCAGCAACACAATCCCTGGGCAGAGAAAGGGAGTTCAATCTGAGATACAGTGAAGTAGTACAGCAAAACTCCAATATCCCGTTTTCAAAATGTGATAAGAGATCTAAAGAACTGCATTTATTTGACTTAGAAAAGAATAAATTTAGGGACTTTGTCTGCAATCTATTAACTATTGCAAGAATTTTAAGAGAATGGTGATAAGAGGTTCTTTATCGCCACCGAACATGGAACAAGGAGTAATTGGTTTAATTTGTTGAAAGGCAGAAAGAAATATTAGGGATTTTTTTTTTCTTTAGTAATGATAGCCATAGAAATGCATTACTCACACTATTTGCAGAGTTTTTGAGATTGGAGGTTCTTAAGAAATGAAACCTTACACAAACATCTGTCAAGGATTATCTAGACACATTTGATTTTATGTGAGGACAGACGATGGATTTGCTTGTTTTCCAGAGCATTATCCCAGTCTTGTATTTCTATGGTTCTAATTTCATTAACCCTAGCATAAGCAGTTTCTGGCAGAAGCAATTTAAGTGGAGCTAATGACAGGCAGGGGATTTACCCATTCCTTCCTCTTAAGGATTCCTTCCCCTTCTTTGGGGAGAAAATTTTAACAAGTATTTATAGCTCCCCCCACCAAAATACTGGTGATTGTTCTATTCATTCTTCTTCGAGTCACTAATGTTCATGTTTAATTGATATACTCAAGGCTTGGTATCCTGTGATTAAAATGACAATGATTAATTAGAGAGAGGATCAAGTCACTTTAAGTAGTTGCTTATATTTTAAAATGCATCCTTGGATCCTAAGGAAAGCACTTAAAAATATATATATTTTAATATATATACTTCATATAATTATATATATACACACACACACACATTTAAAAATGATATGGCGTAAGTTGTAGCCAACAAGTTGGAGCTGTGAATAGCCTAGGATGCAATTAATGCATACCTAAGAGACCGTGTATAAATTCCATCAAYGCATCATCATGGTGCCAAGTTTTTTGGTAGCATTGCTTACTAGAAGTCTTAGAATCTTTTTATAAAATTGCCTGCAGTACATGACACCATGTGGAAAATATAATGTGGGATCCTTATAAACTAGATGACTGCATGTTTGCTTGCAACTGCAGGGACACTATCTTCTGGGACTTTTAATCCCATTTTCCTGTATCTTTTTTCATTTTATTTCATCATATTTTATAATGCCAAAACAATAGCTGCTAAAAAGGTAACAATAAAATCATTAGACATAGTACATTCAAAAAATATTTTAACTTTCTTGTTGATAGCTCGAAAACAAAGTAYGCAAGAACCAAAGAAAAGCAAAAAAAAAGGGCAATTAGGATCAGGGAGAGCCTGAGCACAAATGAAAATTTACCACATATGGATGCTTCTTTAAATTAGCCATTACTGTTAGTAGTTTTTCCATCTAGAGCAACCTTAATTCATGTAAGTTCTTTCAATTGTTCAATAATACAATTTTAAGAATAATCAGTCATCATGATCATAGTCTGCCTCAATGTCAAGTCCTACTGATTATAATTGCTAGTTTTGGTGTAGAGTGTTTTAATTCTGCATTATTGCTATGTTATTAAAATTTTATACAACCTTTTGCAGAAATATTTAGAGAATAGTTGCAAGTCTTTTGTTACTTTTCGGAAACACACAGGATAAAGTGTTGCTGAACTGAGCACCATTGCTGCTCCACCASTCTGTGAACATGAAACTTTATTTGCAAAAATACAAATTCTTTTATACCTTAAAATACTTTCAATTGATCAAATATGTAGTTTAGCTCCTAAAATTTGCTAAATTTTAGCAAAATTGCAAACATAACTCACATATTCCCTTCCGCAAAACTGATTTTCCAAATTATATATAAGTTCAGTTGAGATTTTCATTTCTAGGTAGATATGAACAGATTGATGAGTACAATCTGGGTTTGCCAGCTAGCTCTCCTGTTGAGAAATATTCTCTAAATATTGTCTATTCTTGAAGACTTGTAAGCCAGTATTGTGCATGGAAGCTACACACTTCTTAAGCAGAAAACAGAGATGTATTTATAGAATAAGTCCTTCCACAGAACCTCTTCTAAGATGAAGAAGTGACTGGAGCATGTCTCATATGAGGAAAGGCTGACAGAAGGGGGACTCCAGGTCCAGCCTGGAGAAGAGAAGGCCCATGGGATATGTGATCCATTAGTGCAAGCATCTGAAGGGATGCTGTAAAGAGGATGGAGTTAGACTCTTTTCAGTGGTGCCCAGTGAGGAGGCAATGTATTGATGGCAAGAGGAGGCAAGGTATCCAGTATTCCTGGATACAGTCTGAAGAAAGTGCCCAAGAAACGGCACTTTAATATTAGATGGGATATAATGCATCTTTCAAATTTAAAATGGAGTTTATAAAGAAATGATGATGGCAAAGAATTTAAGATGCTGCTATAGAGAAAAGAAATTCTATCAGCTTATCTTCAGTAGTTGTTCATTAAAGGCCTGATTTAATTTTTATTGTTTAATAACAAACTTTGTGACTTTTCAATGGAAGATGGACACGGAGCTGAAACTATCTGTTGAAGTGGAGATGAACAGATACTACAAAYGAAATAAATAGTCTGTGAAACAATACACTCCTTTGAGGAAAGAACCTTCTCATCAGTTATCATGTTTAAATTCTTACACATACTGTGTAGTATTCCTCTTCTATTATTCCAGCTTCTAACTGTTTTGAAAACAAATTATAATTAAAGACSGTACTGTATTCACACTTACCTCTACACTTGCAAATAAGACACCCGTGACYGTTCTGCTGGAAGCCCATCGGACAGATTTTACCACAAGGCAGCTCTGGGCATTTCTTACACCGACAGATTTCACAGCCATGCTTGTTCTTCCTAGACAATGAAAATAATTTGTGGAAGATCAATAGATCACTTCAAATGTCAGATAATGATTATAATATTTCAAGTAAAAGCTTTCCCAGAGTGATTAAGTAAACAAACATTTCTTAATTATCACCCTCAACTCAACTGTTTAATGGATCTATAGCCTACACAGATGTCCATTCCTAGCATGTGCTTCCTCCATGTGACTGGCAAAAGCTCTGCATTTAGTATTTTCAAGACATTAAGCCATCTTGCTCACAGACAATACAGGTATATACGCTTATGCCTACTCTTAATGATCATAATTTTTTTTTCAAGTGAACAGAAGAAAGATAACTTTCAAGTGTTACTTGTTAACTTTTCTCCTCTAACAGTAAGTTCCATTCATGTAGATTCTATATAGAGATTTTGTGAAGAAAAACAAAACCAGGTACAAAGCTTACTTGAAAATGACAATAACCACATAAAAAAGCAGCAGAAATACAGACATAATTTTAGAAAGAGGGAAGCATAGGATTAATCAACAGACWGACAAAATGCAGAATGAAGAACAAAGACACCAAGAACAATTTAGCTTCTTTAAAGTTTCAAGTTAAACTTTTTTCAGGTGTATYAATATGTAAGTGAAAGATCATCTCAAAGACAGTGTCCATAGAAAAATGGTGCTAGCTTGAATATAGCTTGTTTTTAGAGCATCTTTGTCTGGCAGTTCTTTGAACATGATGCAGAACATCAAGGCAGGCATCGTTCCTTTGCCTGACCAACTCCTCCTTCTCTCTGCCAACCTGGAACCCATCATTCTATAAGCATTTAAGGTGATCAGTAGTCCTGAGGTTGCAGTACCAGAGTACAAGAGTACAGGGTACAGGAGTTAACTACAGGAGTAGTTGGCAAGTAGTGTAGAGCAGTAAATGCTGTAGACAATCAGTGCTGATGAWCAGTATAGCTATTTTGGTTTGCTGCAGTGGCTTTGCAAACCGAAATATTCATTCAGATGCTCCTAGTGAAGCTCATTGCAGTAAATATGACCTCCTGTTAATCAGCTTCTCATGTGGTCTTCTTGCCTATAATGTGTCATATTTATTGATTTTGGCCCAGATGCAGAAAAGCACTTAAGCATTAGTGCTGGTTRAAGTAACTTAGTTTTTCTAGTATGCAAACAATTTTACTTGAAGTAACAATATTCTCAACACCTCTGTTTCAGTCAGAGAGGACAGATGTATTTCTTGACTTCTGTGCAAAAAGCTCTTGTTCTTGATGAAGTGGAATTCATTAGTTAAGTATATAGTAATATTCTGCTTTACCAGAATTGAGTCTTAGAACTTTTAACACAACAGGATTAGCCTAGAGTAGATGAAATACACACTTCTTCTTGGCCCAACAGTAAAATTAATTGACAGTTGTTACAATGATTACTATGCAATGACAAGCTTCTTCCAGTTTATTTATAAGGAAAAAAACAGACTAGAAAYGTTGCTGCAACCTCACAGTCAGACACTGCTGCATTTCACTGTGAAATTCCACTCTCTAAAGGAAGGACAGCGTGTGAGAGTTGGCTGCTTGCTTGTGATTTCAAACAYAGTCTTCTCTCACCACACAAGTAATGTCTCATGTAACACAGCATCAGTATCATAAAACTGAGATCCTCACACAGTATGAAGACCATCTTTCTGCTTGTTATTACAAATCACAGCTTGCTTGTTTTATATATAAAGATTCTGCAAGCCCACATTTCATACTGATATGCACTCATAATCACAAAAAGTRGGAGGCATTGTTCATTCTTCAGGCTCTACAGACACTAAAGCCATTTCAGAATAGCTCTTTTATGAGCTCGTGGATAGACGTAAGTACTAATATAAACTGGGAGAATGAGGAGTGTCTGGACCAGTTATTAGATGGCCCAGATCTGCGTACTCTGTGAGTCATGTCTGATCTAGATGTCTTTCTGTCACGTCTCATGCTTTAAGTAAATAGCTGCAAATGGCAAGATTCAAAATTTGCACTTTTTTTCTTCAATCTGTTTATCATTTTCCTTCTTTTTCACCAAATCCCATTTCTGAAGATACATACACAGTTTATTTTTCCTGTCAAATCTGTGGGGAAAAAAAGTGATTATGCTAATAATTTTTGAATGCTTGTCTGTCTTTGTTAGAATGCAATGCAAATCTTAAGGAGCTGTTTCCTGTTTTTCTTTCTAGGAGTGTTCATGGATACAGTTCCATATATTAATTCTCTTTTTCTTGTCAATTTTCTCTGAATTCAGAAGACTGAAATGTTTTTGGAGAGATAAGAAGACAGACAAAATTAGTCTAAGCTAAAGGTACATTCAGACTTAAGGTGCGTTCTAGATACACATGCAGAGATTATTAAAAATATGTGCCCTATCTGCTAGGCATGAATGATATGCTACACAAACGAAACAAATAACTAAGGGACTCTAAGTCAACAGGATTGCTCCCAAACACAGAAAATCAGTTTATTAAAGCACACAATAAATTAGGCCACATGCTTGACTTCGCGTTATCTTTCTCTGAAGGTAAAACAGAACTATTTCAGATTTTTTTCTGTTGTTTGACAAGATACTCTTGATGTATGTGTCAGAGGACAACTCTTAGCATCACAGGTCAAAATCAYTGCAGTCTTTAAGGGGCTTCTGCCTATTGTGCTATGTCATTTTCCTGATTCTTACTTAAATTTTTCTTTGAAGGAGATTAAAAAAAAAAAAATCACAAATCAAGGGAGAGAGATACTAYGAAACGCAGACCTGTCAAACCAAGTAATAAGTTTCTGAATTAATCAAAGATTCATTTCACATGGAGCATCTAACTTCACTGCAAAGCAGCAGAGAAGATAGGCATAATAAGAAAACTTTGCTTAACAGTATTAAAAAAATACTAAAAACTGAAAGCAATAGAGTGAAAATACATTTAAGCAGATGTCAGGGATGCATGACTATTTAAAGCTAAAGTAGGAAATAAGACCAAAGAGAACACCATCTATAATTTTTAGCAGTTATACATGATCTGATCATCGATTAGGTGGATTTGAATCTAGAACTGCCAGCCACACACTGGGAGCACAAATTAAGGAATGGAAATTTACTGCCTTTACTTAAGAGAATATTTGTGTTCTCCTGGAAGTTCAGCCTTTTGAAGTTTAAAAAAAAAGGGGGGGGGATAGAGAAAGGGATAGAGAAAGGGATAGAGAAAGGG